CATTTAACTGTTTCATGGGTCAATGAAATCTTTTCTTTGCCTTTTTCTTGGTTGAGCTCAGCCATCTTTGCTACCATTTGGTCAACTAGGTCTTTTTGGTTTTGCAAGATACGATCCACGGTGGTCTTTTGCATCTGCTCCATTTTAACCTCCCACTCTGCTTGCAACTTTTGCAAACTCTCGTTCAGCTCTTTCTTCAATTCCTCAAATTTTGCATCCATTTTCAATATTGTGTGAATGCAGTTGCACAGTTAGAAGCGCTTCCTCAAAGTTTCCCACAAGGTATGATTAATGCACGTAACAATGCTTAAATGAATGTTGAATAAAATGCAATGATACAAATGCGGATGCAAAAATATTGATCCCAACGATAAATACCGTAGAACAATTTCCACCAGAGATAAAAAATTTCACATTACAAGACAGTCCACTTTACAAACATGTCTTCGCTTAGATGGTGAGCTTGGAATGGATCACTGCTTCATCTCGGATCTTCGTCCTCAATAATGATGCCCCTCAAGCGCTCTGTAAACAAACTCTTTTAATGCCCCGGCGATGCTGAAGTCAGTGCATCACTCTTCGATGAATAACGTCGGAACGATCGTAAATAAATCTACTGCTGGATTAATCCCCAGACTTCAGTCTTAAATGTTGCACGATCTTCGAGCTCACTGCTTTGTCTCGGATCTTTGTATTTGGAACTGATGCCCCTAAAACATTCTGTAACCTAACTCTGTTAATGCCCCAGTGGTGCGGAAGTCAGTGTGCCGCTCCTTGATAAATAGCGATGAAATGATCGTAGATAAAAATCGACTGCTGGATCACTCATCGGATCAGTGGCTCATCATTTTATTCTCGAACGTTGCACGATCGTCTTGAGCAAGTCTCCTTCTCGTACTCTATGCATTTCTTTTTAGCCTTCGGTGCATGTCTGTGTACGCGACTGCTTGGTTGAAAACTTTTATCTCTTCTTGTGAAAATTTTCTCTCGAATATCCCCTTGCTGATCAACATTTTCGCATTATGTTATGATGATGCAATGTAAAGAAGAATGAAAAAAACAAAAACAACAGAAAATAAATAAGTTAGTGCACACAAAGAAAATAAAAGAAATTAGTTAGTACAGGTAAGACAATCGATATAGATAAAAGTGTTATTAAAAGATGAATATAACACCTACCCATCATGATATCTACCCGAGCATGCTTTAAATAGATAATAGTCCTACCCGTACATGTTATCTACCCAAAATGAATAATTTCAAAAAATGGTCCTAACCGCATGGTATCTAGTTCGCATGCTTTTATTCAAAAAGAAAACAAATTCTACGAAATTAAAACAAAAGATAAGGGTTTAGAAATATTCCTCCTTTGTGTACACCTATTTTAGGTACCTACTGACGGACAAAGGTTCGGTATGACTATACCTAGGGTATCGTTCGACGGTTCACTATATGCTTGGTTTCGGCTCTAACGGGAAAAGGGGACTCGAATTGTACTTGATGTCGGTGCCCCCTTGGACTGCCAAACCCTCGATCCTCACCCATTACAGGTTTCTAACGGAACGAGTTCAATTCGAGGAGATTCAATGTCTTATACCCATACGAGGAATAAATCCCTACGAAGGTATAAGATATGTATCCCATGGGTTATTTGCTAAAACTCATACGAAGAATAAATTCTTACGAGAGTAAAGCACTCACCCCGACTAATTTGGATCGAAGCTCGTGTCTGGAGCTTATGTTATGCACATGTATGTGATGTGTGTGAGGAGGAACATACCTACCTTTGACTCAAAATGAAAAAGAAAAAACTCGACAAAAACTTGGACAGAGCTGAAAGCAAAAAGATAAAATGTTAGTATGATAATTAAAAATGAAGCAATTAAAAACTTCAATAAATGGATCATAAATTAACTAAAAACTAGAAATCATAATTTCCACCAAGATGACAATATGTAAACGACATACAGCCTGACTCTCAAAAAAAAAGGTCCCCAGCAGAGTCGCCAAGCTGTCATAACCATTTTTTTTTGTAAAACAATTAAATATTATTTTTAAAACGATTATGACTTTTATTTTGAAAAATTGAGTATTTTGGATTAATTTGGATTAAATTAAATAGAGTCGCCATCGACCTTTGGGTTAGGTAGGTCGAATACCTAAAAACGTCTTTTTAAAAGAAATTTAAGAAAAATCATTTTTTAAGACAAAAATGGTCTACATTTACCAGAAATCAAATTTAACGGGTTCGGGAATCGGTTACATGTGGGGAAGGGTAAGCACCCCCACAGCGCCCAAAAATGGTACTGTGTCGCTTGCACATTGTCGTAAATGATGGAAATGATAAATCGAATATAAAATTAACCTATGATCCATTTATTGAGATTTATTTAATTTGCCTCGAATTATTTAAAGAAAATCCTTTAACTCAATCAGAAATCTTGAAATTTGCAATCCTCCGTCGGGAAAGCTATTTCAACCATTTCTCATTCGTAAAAGAATATTCTATCATTGATTATGTTAAAAATACAAATCGAATATAACTAAAAACAATGTTTACATACGAATAAATTGATTAACTAAAAACGTGAATTGAATACAAATTAAAAATTTTGAAATTTACATTCACATAAAATAAAGTAAATTGTCACTTAAAATAACACACATTGCATCATTTGAACAAATTAATTAGCAAAATATACTCAACTTATTTCAAGTTTCTATGTCGTTAAAATGCCGTACCGGATCACACCACTTCGACCAAGTGGTACTTTCCACGCTCATTCTACGCATATGTATTCTTGAAAATAAAATCGAAAATCAAATATTTCATACATAGATACAAATATAATGAGAATAAATGTAATTGGAAATACAAATATTTACATTAAATGGAATTAAACACATTATTTACATAATACAAATAACCATGTAATATGTAAAATACATTCATATATAAATGACTAAAATAAAATAAATAAACATTACAAACCAAAATAAAATACAAAAATAAGTAATTAAGGGACTAAAACAAATTAAAACATAAATTCGTAAGGGCAAACAATAAATTTACCTAAAGTATTTATACTAAAACATTGACCATAATGTAAACAAAGTAAATTAAAAATACTAATTAAAATAAAGAAAGGTAACATTCAGTGACTGAAATGAAACATTTGTAAATATTAAAACCAGAATCGAACATAAACAAAAATAGTATGATATATAGCATGAGGGACTGAACAATAATTAAACCAAATACCCAACAGTGACTAATATGTAAAATACATAAATATCCTGTCCAAATTCGAACATTCACAAAAATACACAACACACGAAATTAGTGACTAAAATGAAACTATTACAAACATTGGGACCAAAGTCAAATATCCACAAAAATGACATAACATACATTAATAGGACTAAAATAAAATATTTATAAATGTGATGGCCAGATTCGAATATCAAAGAAACATACATGAAATATTAAATCAGTGGCTAAGATGTAACATTTATAAATACTGAAACCAGAACCAAATATAAACAAAAATGTTATAATACCTAGGATAGTGACTAAAATGTAAAAGTGAAAAGATAAAGGCTCAAATTGAAATAATGTAAACTTCATTCCATGGCTAAATCGTGCGGTTACAAAGGATCAGGGACCAAAAGTGACATTAGACCCTAAAAACCCAAAACACGCGGGTAAGTTTACAAAGCTAGGAGGACTAAAAGTGTAGTTATCCCATAACTCGAAAACACGGATGGGGTTGAGGGCAAAACGGTCGCGTTTCAGGTGGGAATTAAAAGCCCAAAACATGGGCTAAATTCTTCTCATCCTTCATTTGCTTCATTTGAAAAGAGAGAAGAGAGATAGAGAGTTTCAGAGTTCTCTGAAACTCTCTCAACCGAAAAAAGGCCACGGCAGCCGAAGGCTCCCACGGCGGGGCCGACGGTGGCGCATGGCAGCGCACGGCTGCCGGAGGAAGCCAAAAGACTCAAAAACTCCTCCGCTCTCACCCTCTACTCGAAAACCAACCCTAATCGGCCTAGAATAAACCCTAACCTCCTAAATCTAGATGGTTACCTTTGAAAGAAGCGAAAAGGCCGCCGGCTTCTGGGCTTTCCGACGATCTCCGAACCCAAGTACGAATATTTCTTTCTCTATTTTGTGGTTCTCAGTTTTTTTCTCTCAAGGTTGTTTTCTTTTTCTTTCGTTTCCCTCTGTTTTTCTTTTTTTTTTCCTTGGTATTTTCCTTCTTTTTTTTTCTCTGAACCCGAATGAATCCCCTGTCCTTGCATGTCTCTTTCTTATGGTCTTTTTTGCTGAGAATCATCATCTCCATTTGATAGGAATCATGTTCCTAGGCTCGGGTTAGTACCAAAAGCCAAATATTTAGGGATTTAGGACTTTTTTAATGGGTTTTCAGATTTGAGGGTGATTTGGTCCACTGTTGATGATGTTTTATTTTCTGTTTGATTGGTTCTGCTGTAGATGACGATAGTGGAGCAGTTGGGTCGGCGGCTGGACCATCGGAGTGGTGGCTCGGTGATTGGCTCATTGCTGGGAAGCTGAGGAGTTGAAGTCGCGGCGGCTGGGAGACCAAACGGCTGAGCTGATGATATTTTAGGGTTTCAAACCCTAAGCTTTGTGTGATCTGGACCGTTGGATGGGTCCAGATCCAATGGCCAGAAATGAGGCGGCTGGGCATTGAGGGGATTAGGGTTGAAACCCTAATTTGTTTTAGGGTTTGAAACCCTAATCGATTTTAGGGTTTGAAACCCTAATCTGTTTTAGGGTTTGAAACCCTAATCTGATGGGTTGGGTTGGTTCAGGGTACTGGGCCATTAGGTTTAGCTAGTTGGGCTCCGGGAATGGACCTTCTGTAATCTGGGCTTTAGTGGCCTACAAAAATTTGTAAATGTAAATTAAATAATAATAATAATAATAATAATAATAATAACGATAATAATAATATACAAAAAAAAGACCCGGACAAAAACGGGTGTCTACAACAACTTTGGAAGATTTGCAGCTTGAATATCTGGATCTCTGTCTGGTATTTATAACACAAAATCTGCTTCTTTGTCTGCTTCATTTGAAATTTTAAGATATGATGATGATTTGTTAAAGTTGGTTTTCTTTGTTCCTCTTTGGTTAGGTGTCAGATTACCAGAAGTTATATATTTTGGCATCATTGTATTTGTTGCTAATCGTGATGAATCTGTGAAGATACACTGGTCAGTCTGTTTGAAAAAAGGTTCGGTTGGTGTTATGCCTGAAAACTTAACTCAACCTGACATATCGAGTACCTGGAGAGCAATGGAGGCACTATGTGATTTTAGAAATGCTAGGGCTATCGGCGTTAGTAATTTCAGTACGAAGAAGCTGGGAGATCTTCTGAAAGTAGCACGCTTAGTTCCTGCTTTCAATCAAGTTGAACTTCACCCTGTATGGCAGCAGCCAAAGCTGCATGAATATTGTCGATCCAAGGGAATTCACTTGTCTGCGAGTTTGCAGATTTAAAAGCATCATATCTTTCTCATGCTGTTTGAATTCTTACCATTTTGAATCAACTGAGAAAGCTGATTGTATTGGTAATGGATGTTAACATCTTTGGTCTAAGGGATATTCGCCATTGGGTAGCCAAGGTGGAAATAACAGAAGGGTAAAGGTCCACGAAAACCCAGTTCTCAAGATAGTGGCAACACAATTGGGGAAATCTCTGGCACAAGTGGCTCTCCGTTGGGGACTCCAAATGGGGCATAGTGTAGTGCCTAAGAGCAATGTTGAGTCAAGGATGAAGGAGAATCTTGACATTTTTAGCTGCTCTATCCCTGAAGATTTGTTTGCCAAGTTTTCTGAAATCGAACAGGCAAGTGTTAACTTCATGTCTTCATTACCATTGCTTCTCTTACACGTGTATAGTTACTGCAGACTTGTTCATGTTTGTTCTCCCTATAAGCCTTCATTTGATGCTTATCATGATAGCATACGTTGTGTTTATATAAGTTACCCAAATTTAGATAAGTATTTGAATTATGTGAACTTTGCGTTGCAGGAGAAGCTAATTAGAGGCCGTGAATTTGTCCACCGTACTTGTGGTTCATATAGGACCCTTGAAGAACTCTGGGATGGTGAAATCTGAACCCAAAGATGTTCGAAATCGGTAACTCGTTTCCTAGGTCTTCCTTAAATTTTTATTATTTTCAGCAGGGGGCGGAGGTAGGCCTGAGCCTATTTAGGCTGTAGCCCTCTCAATGGAAAAATCTTTTAAGGGTCCTCTTTAATTCTTTTAATTATAATTCAACTTAGTTAAAATTAAATTAATTAGAGTCCTATTTAATTTCAAATTTAATTATAATTTTATCTTTTTAAAGTCTCAAATGAAGAGTTACTTTCTTATAACTTATTTATTACAATTCTCTTTTATTTATTTATTTATTTATTTATTTATATTCATTATATGTTTTTTAAATTTTAAATTTTCTTTTTAAAGCTCAAAGGTAATCAAATATTTTAACTAAAATTTAAGTTTTTGATGTTATTTTGTAAGTTTTTTTTATTATTTTTCTGAATTTTCATACTTTATCTTTATTTTGTTCTTTAATTACTTATGAACTTGGGGAGTTATTAGCGGTTTGTTTAGTATTTGTTTTAATATCGCCTATAAGATTATAATAAAAAATTATAAGGTATTCTTTATATCTTATTTTATTCAATCAAAATTATTTAATATTTTTTTTGCCTCAGTCATAGGTGATTTAGTTTTATGAAAAAGATAGTTCATGTTAATTGATGACAAAATTATATTTTAAACTATACATTTATACATAAATTTAAAAGTTCTTTTAGAACATACAAATATATTAATTTTAGTTATTGTTATTTTTTTTAAATTATAAGATTATATATAAAAGTAATATTAGATAAACTTTTTTATTATATTTATGTTGACCCATTCAATAATAAATTTTGGGAACCGCTACTGATTTTCAGGCACCGTACTAGGAGCAAATTGTCTGCCACTCTTAAAATGGATGAACGAACTTGATAAAATTTAGACTATATTTTTGAAAAACTCTGTAATTAGATCGCATGTTATCAAGTACCATAAAAATAAAAATTCTAAAAAAACCGTTATATAAAATCGTAAAAATAAGAAAAATCATATTTTTTGACATTTTTATTAGTTTATGCATTTTATTTTTAAAAATTAAATATAATTATAATTTTTGAAAAATATATAAATTTTTAACTCATAATGTTTTTGAGATCATTTATATTTAAGGATTTTTACGAATTTAATTTTTTACATTCATTTGAATTTTTCTAAAATATTATTAGAAATTATAACTTTTGATTAGATCATACAATTTTTTTTAACATAAATATATAATTATGAGTGAATAATCAGTTAGTTCAATATTAAAAAAAACTGATTAAATTAAATTTCATTATATTAAATCATATAATAGGTCGTAGCTTTCCGAGGGACATCAAATGTTTGAGGTTTGACCTTTAATATGAGATGATTTAGCATCTATTAGCTTTTTGCTTTACTTTCTTTAAACGAAAGACAAGGCAGGGGCAAGTTCCCTGTATTGATTAGTTAGCATGCGTTTGTCTTTGGAACAACGAATTGTTGGCCTTTCAGGTACGTATCGTCTAAAGGAAGGAATTGTTCAGAGTTTCCGACCATGTTAGAAATTTATTCTTCTGGAATTGTACATCATTTTTAAAGCTTTAAGTTACTGAGTTGTGGACAAAGAGAAAAGTAGATAAAAAAAAGGAAGCAACTGAAACACCAATGCTCGTATGAGCAGGATCACAGTAACTAGGTTCCAAACACAACGTTTGAAAGCACTCCAAGAGCCAGTTTCCCAGCAATTGCATGCATTTTCTTTCGAACCTTTCCAGCACCTCCTTGACCTTGACTGCTATTACCATGCTGACAATGGAAGTTGGTTTGGAACGAGCTAGACAGGATTCCATAACCATCATGATCATAAGGACCAAAATAGCGTGGTGCAACAGGGAACCCGTAAGCATATGCAGAGTTCGGAGGTGGTGGAAATGGATTGGCCCCATAGTCATAACCATAACAATGACTGAAAACAGGCGAAGGTGGTGGCATTGGCAAAGATCGAGCCGTTGACGTTGCCGGCATTGCACCCTTGCAAGGTGATAAGACACACTCGAGGTGAAGATCAAAGCTGCAAAGCCCACATCTATAATGCCAAGACTTGCATGTATCATTGCAGACCATGCACCTGCCAGGCACTGATCGTTGCAGCCTCAGAGGATGATATGGATGCATCGCATGCCGCACATCTTCTGGCAATTGGGTACAAAGAGGGTGCACATCGAAATCACAAATGCTGCACCTATAGAAAAGTCCTTCGACGAGGTCGCCACATAAGTCACAGAAACGATCATTCTGTCGCGTAGCCTTTGGCTTTCTAATGACCAGTTTGAGGCCATGCTCGTGCAGAAAAGAAGACAGTTCTATAGGGCAGGTTCCACAGTGATCATGGAGATCAAAATCACAGAGTTCACATCCATAGCGGAAGCTGGAACCTAGAGTCTTGCAACCACCGCAAAGGAACTCGGAGTCGGCTGAAACTTCTCTTAATGAATGAGAATGGGTGAAATGTTGTATGGTTTTCCTTGATAATGGAGTCATCTTTCTCTAAATGTGGAAGAGATCACTACATTGTTGCAGCTATATATTGAAAAATGGCTATGGAATTGCATTATGGTGGGTGATTGACTTGGTTGTTTAAGCTTGACAGAGCAGGGATGTTGACTTTTAAGTTTTGTAACAATCGAGAAATACTGAATCGGTGGTTCATGCACTTGACAGAGGAGACTTTCAATATAATAAGTTTAGGGTAAAGTACACAAATGGTTCCTAACTTATGATATTGTTTTGTTGAGTCTCTCGATAATTTAATATTATAAAATGGTTCCCCGAGTTGCTTTATTGAGCCCCTTAACTATTAAAAGTTATAAATGATCACCCAACTATTCATATAATTCATATTTATCCTTTTCTGTTAACAAATTTAGGGTCGTCTGAGTTGAATGTTAACTTGCTGATTGAGATATGATATCATTTGATCTCAGGATCTCAAACGACTATACAATTCAAACGATTATGATATCAATTTCTATCATATCCCAGTCATTAGATTGATGTCCATCTCATACGACCGTCAATTTTTTAACGGAAAATGACGAGTTTGAAATATATAAATAGTCGGGTGATCATTTCGTAACTTTTAATAGTTGAGGGGCTCAACAAAGCAGTACCATATAGTTAAGGGATCATTTTGTAGCTTTTAATAATCAAGGGACTCAATAAGATAGTGTCATATAGTTGGGGACCATATGTGTACTTTACCCATATGTTTAATGGTAACAAATTTGAGAGGGAAATTAATTTAAAACAAGTTGTTGATGTTTGACATTGACTCCAATTTTGTAACATATTGTATGCATGTTCTAAAAATCTCAAAAGATTCGAAGTGAGATGGTGTACAATTTGCTTAAGATTGCAAAGACAACTTCAGTTCTTGAGAGTATTCTATTGACAATATCCTATTTCCAATAAATGTTGGAATAATTGCGTCTATAAAATGTATGCGGGTCATTGTCAATTGACAAAGAAAATTTTAAATATGCCAAACTCATTATTTTATAATGAATTATAAAATCTTGGATAAACTACTCGATCTGTATTTCCTTTCATATTTATACACTTTTACTCAAGCACTCAAAACATTTATGTTTTGGTCACTTATATTGTCGATTTATTAAATTTTTGTCACTTAAGTTATCAATCGTTAGATTTTAGTCACCGAGTCGTTAACTCCCGAGTGCCTGAAGACGTGACAAGTGAGTCAGAAGGGGTTACTTTTTGGTTTTACCACTGAACTTTAGATAGAACACTAGTTAGACCTCAACTTTAGATAAAATATCATTTTGATCCCTAAACTTTAGATAAAATATCAAATTAACCCTTAAATTCAATTAAAGTCTCTCATCGCCACCACCACTCACCATTGTCACTACCGACCATCATCGATTGACATTGATTGTCATCGTCATTGACTATTAAACCCCAAAATTTACTATTCACTCTTTTTTCTTATACTCTAAGTGCGAATTAACATCACTTGAAAATATCTGAATCTCAACAAATCTAGCCTATAATCTTTCGACTTCCTTTAAAATTAAACCATAATAATAAATTTATTATAGTTAGTTTAATTTATTAATATGCTAGAATTGGATTGGAATTCTAAAACCATTTTAAAAAGTTAACTTTGATTTTATATATTTTTAAAAATATTAAAACTTTTAAAATAATATTATAGTTTACAAATGTTAAAGAATATACTAATATTATAAACATAACAATATTATAAACAAAATATTTATACATTTCATTATGAATATAGATTTAGACTTTTAGTGTATTTATTTTTAAAGGAATATTAATAATAAATTTATTATGATTTAATTTTAAAAGAATTTGAATGATTCTAGGCTAGATTTGTTTAATTCTTGACATTTTTCTATGAAACATATACTAAATTCATATTTATAATATCAAAAAGGAGTGAACTATAAATTTTGGGATCTAATATTTGATGTCAATTTTATTTGATGTCGACTGATGGTGATTGTAATATACAAAAATTTGGTTAGTGACTAAAATGTAAATTTTGAAAGTTTAGTGGCTATAGTATAAACTTTGTAAAAGTTTAAGTACTAAAAATGTAAATTTGAAAAGTTATATATTTTAGCCCGTAAATAAAAAAGTTTGGCCTAAAAAAAGAATTTTTGTGGTAATTAGATTTTTGGTACGTGATTTGTGTTAAAATGCTATAAAGCGATAAAGTTCGATATAAAAATCGGATAGTCGGATCGAATCAAAATTTCACGAAAAATATGAAGGATGCTAAATAAAGGTTGGAAATATTATTTCGATAATTTAGAACATTGAAATTTAGCATAGATAAGTGGAATTAAGGTTGATTTTCCATGTTAATCCAAAATTGTGAATTTTAGTGACTAAATTGTAATTTTCAAAAAAGGGAAAAGGTGAAAAGTGGATTTTTATTTGTTAATCTTTGAATTTGGAATATTAAAATGGAATATATTCCAATGGCAAGTTAAAAATATCATGTTTCATTAAGGGTAAAATGATAATTTCACATTAATTGAATTTTAAATTCATTTATATTAGATAAAGCCAGGTGTAATATGATATTAATTGAAGAAAAATCAGAAATTTACAGCAGCTTCCAGCCCCAAAATGTGAACCACCATAGCTAAGTAAGAATTTTTTTTATTTCATTTTTAAGCTTATTCAATTAATTTTTAGATTAAGCTATTAGATAGAGAATTAATCTACTTGAAATTCTAATCATTTGGTATAAATAGTTCATGGAAATCATGTCTGGATGATGATGTTCATAATTAAGGTTATGAAGAACATGTTTGAGATTTTGAAGAATTAAAGGGTGATTTTTATGTTATTAGTGTTGTAGATTAATTTCCAAGCCTTTGTGATGACTAGAACCAAGTAGAAATGCTTATAATCAAATTGGTCAAGTTAGGGTTTATGAAAATTGGTTGAAATTGGATTTAATTTGATGTTATGATGATTGAAATTGCATGAATTTGATCATAGGAGATTGATTCATGCTTGAAATTGAATGAAAATCAAATCCTAGTGTACTAATTATGTTTGGCCATAGGGGAATAAATTGGGGAAAATGTTAAAAAGTTTCTTGTGGTCTATAATTGATATTATAAGTATGATTTGGATATCAATTTGTATCAATTTGGAACCTTTAGATAGTAAAAGGGCTAATTTATAAGTTTTGAGAATTATAGGATATTATTGCATAAATGTGGTAATTGGAGTGTTCAATGTTGAATTTTAGTATTTGAAATTCTGTAATTTTAAGTTAAATAAGTAATTTGGAATCAAAGTGCAAATTTGGATAAATTTGGTGATGAATTCGAATAGTCTCAAAAGTTGGGACTTAAATGAGAATTTTCAAATGTTATGGTATTATTTTAGTATGAAATTTCAATGTTGGAAATTTATATCGGCGTGATGATTTTTAAGTTTAAATATTGGATTTGGAATCGAATTGCAAGATTATTATAGTGGATGGCTGAATTCGAAAAGTCTAAGGAAATAGAGGATGAAATTACAAGTTTTTGAAGTTTAAAGTGTTGAATTCAGTATATATTTAAGTTGCTGAAAATTTTAGTAATTAATGTGAAGGATCATTATGAATTTAATGGAAATGTTTAGGTGAATTGTAGAAAGAATTCATAATTAGTGGCTTGATTGTACAATTGGCAAAAGTTGAATAGTTGAGGAAGGAAATACATATTTATGGATTCAAATGAGGAGTTTTGAGAATTTTGATGAAAAATATGATTTAGTTTTAAATAGATTTAAGTAACAAAATTTTATTTCAATTGAATTTTATATTTAAGCTTAGATTATGTTAGTACGATACTAACATATAGTTTGAATATTTTATGTTACTTATGGCGTCGTCAGACCACGATAAATCTAGTGATTCAAGTAATTCGAAAGGGAAGGAAAAGTGCGGTATTGAGAAGAACATCATAAAAAATATTCGATAGCGAGGCAAAGGTGACTGCAGATTTAATTTATATTTATGTTATCGAATGAACATTGGTGTCACAGCCCAAATTTTTAGGAAAAATTATTGAATTAATTAAAGTTTGATTTGAATAAATTTAGGGACTAGATTTAAAACTGATGAAGTTAGCAGACCATTTTAGGAAGTTTTGAAGAATGCAAAGACTAAAACAGAAATTTAGCCATTTCTTATTACCCGATAAAAATATATTACTCGATTGGGTAAACCCAAATTATTTCCCCAAAATTGAACCAAATCCTTAACCCTAAATCAAACCCCCCCGACGGTCACCTTCTTACCTTAAATACGCCACCGTCCGGGCACCCCAGCCTGAGCCACGACCACCAAATTACTCACCGTCAAACGGTGATCAAAACATAACCTTTGAATTGCCAAGAAACGGTGTCGTTTGTCGTGGATCATCCAAGGTTAGCTGGCAAAAACCCCTTTGATCGCTGCATATTTTAGCCCTTTTCCGACCGTGTCTGGTATTGGTTCACCTCACTGCAGCCTCCAGTGTATTCACTGGTGTAAAACCTAATCGGTTTTGCTCACCAGTGATGCGTCGTTACTGGTCACCGACATGGGTAAGTTACCATTCAATTTTGGTCTATTGGATTGGTTTATTGGTGATATTAGATTGATTTTTAGGTGTAATTGAGTTCATTGTTGAACTGAGGAAATTCGGCCGGTGAAATGGGTCCTGACAACCGCCGCACGCACCGTCACGCGCTAGCGGTGCGCATGGGGCTTGTTTGACTAATGAAAATTTCTTGAAACCGGTTAACCCGACCCGTTGATGTGACCGAACCCTTGACTTGGGTCAGAGTTGACCTTTGACCGATCATACCATTGACTTTAACCGGTCAGATTATTGACTTTGACCAAACAAGTTAAAATTTCTGAAAAGCCCTATTTTATATTTTTTGACGTCTTGAGCCTGATTTTGAAGTCTGTTTTGCCAGATTCTAACCCGAAAGCCTCC